TCTCTCAAAATTAATACAAATACAAATTAATTTCCTTTCAAAACGGATTTAGCTAAATTTTGGTTACAAGGAAAAATTAGTAATTATAGTGAATAAGCAGCCTTATTACCCGTTTCTGGTATTGATCGATCGATTGATGCTGATCAGTCCTCCGCTTCTCCTACCAACTGGCATTTCTTGATGGATTATGTTGCCAGCGGACCTTGGGAAGGAGGTTACATTGTCTCTATAACCGTATGACGTTCTATGTGCTACAAAGATAATTACCGAATGCCGGTAATCAAATATTAAGTGCCATTCATGTGAGAAATCCAATCTAATCCAAACTAATTAGCGAAGATATGCAAATATGTGTTTCCCTGACATCTGATTTATGTTCATGAGACAAGGACTGACCCAGGTTGAACCTCAGCCTAGACAGATTGATTTACTTATTACTGTTGGACTGAATGTTAATGTCAATTTCAGTTACCTGCCTGCGGGGTTGGACTGTGATGATAATGATGAGGGTAAATGGTAAATGGGAGTTTGCAGCCACGTAATTTCAGGGTAAAATTGGGAAAATTTTACAAAAATTGTGCCAATTGGGAAAATGCATTGTATGCAATTGTTAGGGGTTTTTAAATGGTTCCAGAGGGACAAGGAAGCTCTTTTCTACTATTCTGGACTTGTTTTTGTACCAAGTTTGATACTAACTCTAACATTAACCATAAATTGAATGATTTACATAATGGTAACTCTTACCCTAACGATAACTTCAACACTAGCTATTGACAAAGCCACAGAGGGATGGGGTCTCATCAGGGCTCCTATAATGAGTGGTTTGCAGTGTGCCTGCCACCCTCTTTCCGCCCAAATTGTCCAAGGTTCCTAAGAGCCGGACGGGGAGATGTGTAAGGGCCATATACATCTCCGTGCCCAGCTCTTAGCAACCTGGGATGCTCTGGCAGGCGTCCTGCCCAGCTCCTGGCAACCAGTCATGTAAGTGAGCAGCCAGGGTTGTAGCCATGGCTGGGAAGTGAAATGATCCACCCCCCTTAGCATGCTCCCCGCCACCCCCTTACCTGCCAGAACATCCCAGGTTGCTTGAGCCAGGCAGCTAGATGTGAAAGGGTCATATAAATCTCTTTGCAAGCAAGCTCTTGCTCCGGCCGGCATCCCACCCAGCTTCTGGCAACCAGTCATGGCAGGGAGCAGCCAGAGCCGGTCATGAAGCATCCCCCAGCCGCAGGTTGCGCAATGCCTAGGGACACCCCTGGGTCTCACCGATCCTAAATCAGTATAAAACTCCTCGGACAGATGGCCAAAGCAGACAGTAGCATGGTTAGCAGTCTGATGGCCAGGTCAGGTGCAGGCAGGGCCCAGGTTTCAGAAATGGACAATAGCAGAGACAGCAGAAAGATAATTAGGATAAGCGCAGACAGACCGCTCACCAGGTCATGAGGAAACAGACAAACCTGTTGAGTTAGGTGCAGGTTTGAAGTTCTGGTCTCACTTTAAAGTTCACTAATGAGTGCAGGTGTGTACAGCTGAAGCCAGAGCTACAGTGCAACGACAAGCAAATGCCGAAGGTTCCAGGATGATTATTACTAAAGCGCTGTCACTATCAAGAAGTGAGAAGGTCCGGAGAAACGATGTGCGGGGAACCCTGGAGTGATTGGCTGCAAAGGGGCCTGGCAGGAGATCGGCAGCACTGAGATGTACCGAGGATGGGGGAAAAAAGGGGAAAACAGTATTTTGTGGGGGGAAAAGTATGGTAACTGATATGATACACAAGCGCTTTAGCAAATTATATGTCGGCTAAGGTTCAGGTCTACTATGAGTTGAAGGGTGTTCCTATGTCAAAGGTGTGTACCAAACGGGAGCTCCAAGCAATGTACAAAGAGAAATGTTGCGTAGTCACCTTGTCCGGGACAGGAGGACAGTTACTTTGTTGATATCATGTTGTTAGTTTGTATACAATCTCTTGTGAACAGTATAATTGTAGGGTGCACAGCATACACAACAATTACCCTTCATGCAATCCCGATGGTGACGACACCAGGCAATGTGCGGTCAAAAGGTCACTTGTAGTCTCCATCGGACAGGGTGACCACAGAGGAGATAAGAACAGAGCGTTGTCACCCTATACCAGGTAGTACCTAAACAAGGAACCCCGTGGCAGGATCATTAGGGATTATTTCATTAAACTAATGAAATGCAGTGCTACCCCTGCACTGCAAGGGGTTAAGTGCCTCGTTTGGTCTCCGGAGTAAACCAAATTTCCTTACCTGAACCTGGCTCCTTCGGTGTTCAGCGTTCTCCTCTTCCTCCCCTCCGCTCCATGGAATGTTCCTTGGCATCTCCGAATCTAATGAAGGTCTATGGAACCTAGATTAGGCGTGATGACATCAGCAGTCCTTAGACTTAAGGGGCCAGTCGTGTATTTTGGTTTGGGGCTGCACTAGGCAAGACGAAACTCAAGGCCCCCCCCCATCCAGCTTTTGACATGTTCCGGGGTCTCAAGTGGGCTGTGCAGGATCTGTGGTGGGCTTTGCAGGGTCCATGGTGAGCTCTGCGGGGTCTATGTTGGGCCGTGAAGGATCTCAGGTGGGTTCTGCAGAGTCTCCATTGGGCTGTGCAGAATCTGTGGTGGGCTGTGCGGGGTCTATGGTGGGCTGTGCGGGGTCTATGGTGGGCTCTGTGGGGTCTATGGTGGGCTGTAAAGGATCTGTAGTGGGCTTTGCAGGGTCTCAGGGGGCTGTGCAGGATCTCTGGTGGACTGTGAAGTATCTGTGGTGGGCTTTGCAGGGTCTCAGGGGGGCTGTGCAGGATCTCTGGTGGACTGTGAAGTATCTGTGGTGGGCTTTGCAGGGTCTCAGGGAGGCTGTGCAGGATCTGTAGTGTGCTGTGAAGGATCTGTGGTGGGCTCTGCAGGGTCTCAAGTGGGCTGTGCAGGATCTGTGGTAGGCTCTATGGGGTCTATGGTGGGCTCTGCACTGTCTCAAGTGGGCTGTTCAGAATCTGTGGTGGGCTCTGCGTGGTCTATGGTGGGCACTATGGTGGGCTGTGAAGGATCTGTAGTGGACTTTGTATGGTCTCAGGGGGCTGTGCAGGATCTGTGGTGTGCTTTGCACCACAGATCCTGCATAGACCCCCTGAGACCCTGCAGAGCCCACCACAGATCCTGCAAAGCTCCACTGAGACCCTGCAGAGCCCACCACCGATCTTGCACAGCCCACTTGAGACCCTACATAGCCCACCATAGACCCCACATAGCCCACCACAGATCCTGCAGAGCCCACCTGAGACTTTCGAGTGTGCTGTGCAGAATCTATGCTGGGCTCTGCAGGGTTCCTTTACCACCAATGTGATCCTTTTACCTTCATCTGCTGCCTGCTGCTGGACCTGGCCTCCTCCGCGGGGGGCTGTGGGCACCCGGCCTCCTTATTGCCCAGTGGTATGATAGAGCGCCCCGTGGCAAACAGACACAGCAGTTAATAGCAGAAGGTGCCAATGTGAGGGCCAGCTGCTCAGTTCAGACAGTCTTCTTTTGTAAGGTGGGCATACTCCGAGGGGAGTCTGCAGGGACAGGATGCCACCAGTGGATGTACCACAGCCCTGCACCTATAAAGTGTCCTGTGGCTAACTAACACAGTACACGAGGTGTCTGCAGAGTGCCACAAGCAGGACCCAGTGCCCAAGAGTCCCATTACACAGCAGCCAGGCGTCTTCATCATGTCCGGGTCCGGGTATGGCCTCCAAGGCTGCATCAAGGATCAGCAACAAGCTCAGACCCTCAATACATCCAAAACCTAGAATAGGGCCCATTTATATCTATGCATTAGGGGGATGTGCATGTTAAAGCGTGCGTTACTGCAATGTGGAGTGGCGCACGCTACATGCATTGCTATGCTGCAGTACTATGCATTTTGCATGGCGCAGCAAAGTACTATAGTGCTTTATGGTGTGTTGTAGACATGTATGATTCCTTCGGACGAATCTTCCAAAATTCAGACATTCGGACACATCCGAATTTCTGAATCCCAATGCAACCGAATCTCAATCAAGTGTCTCAATCCAAATTTCGGATCCCGTCCGAATTTCGCTCAAAAACTAAACTGAATCGGACATGTGACTTTTCTGGCCCATCAGATGTGTTTTTTGGTTTAATGCATCCGAATTGGTCTGAATCCCAATTTCCATTACGGCAACATGGGTGCCATATACAGTATATACATATAATACTAAAGCTGAGGCTCCCAGACACGAATGGCATTCGGGATCCGAATTTCCGAATTGCATTTGGGAGCTCCTGAATGCCATTCAGCTTTAGTAATATATGTATATGGCTCCCAGACCCCGAATGGCATTTGGGATCCGAATTTCTGAATTCCATTCGGGAGCTCCCGAATGCCATTTGGGTCTGGGAGCCATATACATATATTACTAAAGCTGAATGGCATTCAGGAGCTCCCAAATGCAATTCGGAAATTCGGATCCCGAATGCCATTCGGGTCTGGGCGCCTCAGCTTTAATATTAATATCTGTATATGGGTTTTCTGTGGTAGTTGTAATGAATATTCGTTCATAAACTTATCAGAAACAAACAAAAATTCGGGTTTCGTCCGAATCTGAAACCCCAAACCGAATTGACTTTCGGACCCCGAATCCCGAAATATCCGAACCGTACTTTTCCGCAGCTTACATGTTGATGAAAATGGGCCCCCAAAAGTTTTTGGCTGGAGTTCTACTTCAACAGTGTTTTGACTTTCAAAACATTTGAGGGGGAGGGGAGGCAGACGCTGAGACCTGCCCTTACTAGACAGCTTGCTATATAACAACGCATCACATTTACCAGCTGCCAAAACTGGTTTCCCTTTGCTGGGAAATTAAAGATAACAATAGGAAAAGGATACACGAAATTTGGAAAAGCTTGCAGCTGCAGTTTACACACAGCATTGTGTGCAGGAGGCAAAACATTACTCTCGTATCGGAAGTGCTACAATCAATCAGAGGCCATGCCTGAGGAAGGGGAGATTTTCGAGTTTTTGACCATTTCAATGGCAAGGATAACAGGTAAGGACAGCTGAACAGTGTACACAATGTGACGAGCATTGATTGTATGCAAGAACATGTTTCTAAAAAGTAGCACACCCTTTCCATGGAGCTTCAACAATTACCTTTTAATGCTTAGTGACATGTAATCATCATGGAGGGTATTTAAAACTTATGGGCTGCTTCCTTTTAATTAAGTCATCATACTAAAGTAGTAGATGGAAGTTTGTGGACACCTGACCATCACACCAGATGACCTTCCAAAATCAGGAGTATAAAATCAAACTATACAATCTCCATTGACAAAGACATTGTAGACAATTGTGCTCTTCCAACCTTGTGGTCAAAATTTGGTGAAGACCCTTTTCTGTTCCACAATGACTGTCCCCTGTGTACAGAGCAAGCTCCATAAAGACATGGTGTGACCAGTTTGTGAAGGTCACTCAAATTCCTCCACACCAGAGCCCCGAATTCAACCCTATGGAACATAGGAACACCTTATGGAATATAAGTGCATCATATGAGTTATTGGGTTCAGGTGTACAAAGCCTGCTCCATAAAGACATGGTGTGACCAGTCTGGTGTGGAGGAACTCAAGTCTCCTGCACAGAGCCCCGACCTCAACCTTACTGAACAACCTTTGGAATGAATTGGAATGCTAATTGTGAGCCAGGTCTTCTCATCCAACATGAGTACCTGACCTCACAATTGGGCACAAATTCTCATAGACACGTTCCAAAATCTCGTGGACACCTTTCTAGAAGAGTGGAGGCTGTTGTAGCCACAAACTGGGCAACTCTATAATAATAGCCGTAGTTTTGGACGAGGATACCCAACAAGCACTTATAGGTGTGATGGTCAAGTGTCCAAAACCTTTGGCCATATAGCGTAGAAATGTTAACATTGGTACTAAAGAAAACATTTGTATTGCTCCCTTGTAGTAAATTAACCTGTACAGAGAGAAAAGCCATTTTTCTGAGCGATGCAGCTTAACAGATTTCCTGATCTCAAACACACGAAGAATACTAAACCTTCTTGGTTGCAATAGACAACCCCTCCACTATGCTTTGGTTCATTTTTCATAACCCAAACCTCGTAAGCCATTACTAAATAAAAGTACATTTTAAGAGTATGCATGAGTATCAGAAATGTGCAAAATTGGGAGTTTACATTTACACAAATTTTTGGTAAGATTTCGCCATCTTGGGGAGATGCATTGGTGTCAAAACGGAAGGTGAAATGAAGGTGGTTTTTGATTTTCCATTAAGGGTTCTTTTAAATGGCTCCTGAGGGATACAGAAGCTCCTTCAAACTATCCTGGACCTGCTCTTGTGCCAAAAACAGCCCCTCATTAGCCCAATTGTTTGAATTTAAAAAATGTAAGTAAAATTTACCTGTGCAGTGCAAGAGTGCGGTAATTCTGCAGCAAAGATGCTTCCAATAATACTTATTCTCGAGGAGTGCCTCTGCAGATGCAAGAACAGACTTGCCTTTTTGCTTTAACCGGGACACGTTGTTAGAAATCTTAAAAAGAAAATTGGAACAAACCAACCCAGGACCGGTTATTAATAGAAACTTATCAGATTTAAGATGTCACGGAGGCATGAAGATCCTGACTGGTTTCAGTAGACAACACCTCCACCTTTCATTGGTCCATATTGGATAAATTAAACCCCGGGAACTCCTTTCAGAATTCCAAGTCTATGGCATTCTGTGTGTATCTGGAAGCTGAAGGTACAGCTAGAACCTTCAACTGGGAGATGGGTCACACACTAACCTTTGTAGGAACTACAGCCAAGCACCAAGGAGCTGGAATTATTAAATTTTTCGTTCCAACGTTCCATTCTTCCCCGTAAAACAGGCCAACAATATTGAAATATCTACAGAGCTATCCAAACTAGGAGCCCGCAGACAAAAATTGAGGGTGATAAAATGATGCTGAACTTGTACACGAAACCCACAGTTCGTGTTTAACTTTGGAGAGGTAAAGGCAATGGAAAAAAACCTCAAATCAAGGATGGATGTTCTTCTCCTCGTCTATCCGGTTTGGATAAAACAGGTTTGACGCCTGAGCTGGTTGAAGATGCTGGTAGAGAATGGAACGAAGTAGCATGTGAAAGTTTATTTAGAGCCTGGAGGGGCGAGCTCGATTCATTGTCCAGATCGGAGGGAAAGACAAAGGTGCAGAGGGTGCCGATGCTTTCGGGCCTTGTGCTGTGGATTTCAAATTGGTAGAGAGTGAGACAGAAGAACTTTTTGTGTTTTTCATTATTGAGATCTCCTGCTGGAGACAGGCGGCTTCAATTATTTGCTAAGAAGTTGTAGATCAATTTTCAGCAGTTTAAACATTAATTGTATCTAATTCTAACACACGATGACATTTTAACAAAAACATGCAAGGCTCCAGATTGCTCAATTCTCTTGTATAAAATGAGAAAAAGAAAAATAGATACAATTTCACTTCTATACGACTCCTCCTATACAGTAGATACTGTGTTTTACCTGAAAATAAGTCTGGATCGGCTAAGCCGAACCTCCGGCAGGCTACTCGCTGCTGTTCGGTCTATTCTTATAGATAATTAGAATAGTTTTTGATCTGGGTCTGAATAGTGGGTGCCACACCCCTGGAATTTGTAGTAGCAAGAACAGAAAGTGGGGGTTTAAAAGCACCAAAAGACAACTCCACAAAACAAGATTCAATATAAAAAATAAATTTTAATTGTGTTGATTTAAGAAACGGGATCAAAAGTCCATTTAAAAGTCAGCTAGGTAGATAGCTCCCTCCACGCATACCCTTCCTACAGCAGAATTGTGACATGGCAAAATGCATATAAAGTGGGTGATAGTTAACATGATAACATTGTAACAATCAAGGATATTGCTAATGTTGCTACCACCATTGAACATTTTGTACATGGAAATCATATCCCCCCTTAATCTCCTCACCTCCAATGTGAACAAGTTTAAATTTAGTAGCCTTGTCTCGTAGCTCTGGTCCTCCATACCCCTAATTAGTTTGGTTGCCCTCCGCTGGACTTTTTCCAACTCAAGGACATCTTTTCTTAGTACTGGTGACCAGAACTGGACCGCGTACTCCAGATGAGGTCGAACCAATGATCTATAAAG